AATCCACAATAACTCAAAATTATTTGGAGGAATCTCCGTACTTCTAGTCGGAGATCTCTTTCAATTACTACCAATAAACGCCCAATATGTATTTCACTCTTCCGTTTGGAAAAGATTCTTTCCACTATTCCTAACCCAACCTAAAAGGCAAAGAAACGACCCTAGATTCTATAATCTGCTTCAAAATTATGATATAATTGTCTGTCCGAAATATCAAAAAAATGATCAAAAATAAAATTGATACTTCTGATTTCGATTATAATGCTATCTTCTTAACTTATCTCGTAGGCATACGTGAAACTGCTAAAGAGATTAATAAATTAATTTGTAATAACCTTCCGACCAACGAATATGGAATAGACTCAATAACCTTAAAAGCCATTGACACTCTCAATTACAGTCTGCTTACCACAAATAACAATGAACACCTGAACTATAACCGCTATATGAATTTATCTGATGAAGTAATCCTAAAAGAAGGTGCAAGAGTTATGTTTCTAAACAATAAACTATTTGACCACAACATTTGCAACAGTACAATCGGTGTAATTACAAGCATAGTAAATGATCATACCATTGAAGTTACTTTTCCAACCATGACAGACATCGTTAAACTAAACGTACAAAAAGAGACGACCTATTTTGATATCAATAAAAATCTAGCATCTAGATATTAATTTCCTATTCAAAACGCTTTTGTACTCATAATCCACAAAACTTAAGGATTGACTTTACCTCATACAACGATAAACGTAGACCAAAGAATATTTGCAGAAGGTCAAGTCTACATCGCCATGAGCAGAGCTCCTATGTGGGAATCTATTAACATTATCAACTTTGATTTTAATGCTATTAAAACAAACAGATCAGTAATAGAAGAATATACACAACTAAGCAAGATACATAGAAAAGGATTGGCTCATATGCTATGTAGCTAAATAATTCTATGCACTATTCTTTTGTCTATCACGACAATCGCTTGAAGTTACTACCATTTAAAGGTGATGTGTAAAGCCTTCTCCAAGTTAGAATTACATTTTTAATGCTTTTAATATTACTAGTCTATAAAAATATCAAGATCAAATT